CACAATGAGGGCAATGTATATTGTTAATATTACCGATCGTCTTCGTCGAATATATTCTGAGTCCCTCATGATGGAATCGCTACAGATTTCGTTTAATTTTTTATTGAGCCACTGAGTAAAACTGAAAATGTCGCGGTGACTTTGAGTGTAGAAACCTTTCCGTAGTCTCTGAAAATTTGTGCTTCCCATGATACTTTTGCCCAGTGACCCATGAAAATAAAATGCATTTTTGGCAATTTCACTGCTCATTTTCCGGGAGGGGGCCTTCTTAATATACTCATTAGTTCCATTTATTCCAGGGCCGCTCATCCTCTGAATCCTCTGAAACAATTCTGAGGCTGAGTCATGGAAATCGTGGAGCTTATCTTGGAAGAACGCAAACCAAAGAGCCTCAATGAAATATCTTGGACAGAGATAGGGAGGGAAGGAAAGATCTGTTCAATTTACTTGGGATTTGTATATTTAACGACGACTGTGATGTGCAAACTAATGACATCAATATCGAGCTGCGGAATCGGTTTATGTTTGCAACTCTTCATAAAAAAACAGTTGGGGAGCAATCATGGAGTCATTGTTGGGCTCCATCGACGACAAAACGTTTTGCGGAGATCCTGCTCGAATTTTGGATGGAATTCAGTAAGGCGAGTGAGTGAACAAAAATGCACTACAGGTACTCGGGTTTCGGGTTGACTGAGATATACAGGGTGAATCTGAAAGTGAGTTTTTTCAACAGGATATACAGGGTATGTCACGACGAGCTTGCACTATCTCTATATCAAGAATCAGTCGGGAGAAATCCATGAAAATATGTATGCTTATATTAGAGAATACGCTCTCTTCATTTGAAATATGTTCAGCAATGCAGTGCTGTATATCTCACTTAAATGAGTTGTTTGGCAAAACTGGTTCACATGAAATATTTAAGACAACGGAGGTACAGATATTTAGAGGTTTGAAGAAGACTTCAACAATGAAACATTTTGTTTATATTTTATCAAAAAAACGCAAAGAAGCCGTTATTAGTCCAGCATTAGATACCCTATAGTTGCAATATTTCATCAGAAAAATTTATCGAAAACCTCTTTTCACATTTTCAACCAATTAATTTCCGTTTTGAAGTGATTTTTTCATCATATTCTTTAAAAAAAATCTTAGATCAATAAAATTAGATTTTTAATTTATAGAACCTCAAAATGCCTGTACCTTCGTTATCTCATATTTTCACCTGAACATTTTTTGGCAAAACAACTTATTTTGGCGAGATATTTAACCTGTTGAATAAAAATAACTCACTTTCAGATTCACCCTGTATAGTGAAAACTACCAAAGAAGGAAGCAACTATTTTTTCACATGAGCAATCCCACTAGTTCCTAGTGAGAACAGATCTTTCGACACAAATGGTATATCTGTTGAATCTCAATTGACATTAGACGAAGATTGGTGGACTGTAATCGTTAATGGTAAAATAATTAGAGCAAATGTTCCATTATTGCTGGATTAAAAAACGTAGGCATCCTATAATAATGCATGACAAAAATGATCAAAATAACATCATAAGCGTATTTATCCACACGCAAAGCATGAAAATCTACAATCTATCTAATGCTAATACTCCAAATAGCTGGCCACTTAATGAATAAACCAGCTTCCTGTATATGTACACACTATATTAAAAAAATGGTTTATGGTCGGATTTTGCAAACTGCTTGAAATGCCATAGTGTCTTCTACATATCTTATGGAACCCCATCGTATCATGGAGATATTTCGATTTATATCCAGAGAGTGAAATAAAAATAAATGGATTTTATCGAATGTATCTTCGGGTACTTTTTACATGGCATCGAAGCCAGAGATATATGAATATTCACTAGTAATCTCCCTAGCGCCTACTTGAATTATTTCAGGAAATTTACGGTCAATATTATTCTTCATGCAGATCATAGGGGGATTATTTCGTGAGATAATTTTACACCCGTATAATATTGATAACTGATGGTTGAAACTGTGAACCCTTTTCCTCATAAATGATTCCTGCGTGGATTGTTTCAATGTTTGCACAGTGTATGAAAAATTGAGATTTCTGTACTTCGTATTCTTGATTTTTATTCATTGACAAAGGTAACTTTTTTCAGCTAGTGTAGTATCATAGCAGAAAGATATGAATTATAGCTTAATCAGCTGCTATGAAAATTACTAACCATTTATTTTTTTCGATTGGCTTTGAAAGTGATTTCAAGTTCATGATAAAGAAGAGTTTTCGTCGATGCACAATTCAACTAGATTAACAAAAATGTCGTCTAATGCAATAGTTGCAACAAGGCAGACATAAATATTGTAATTGAATGATTGTTATATGAGGCTTGTTTTGTTTTCTTCGTCAAATTGTAGATCATAACTTTTCGCAGAATTTATCACTTATCTAGCCTACATCCAGCAACTGTCGTAAGGTAAGTGGCTCATGATTTATGATAATTTTCAATTGTTTTTATTGTATTTTTATGACGGTTGATCGGATTATTATGGATACAACTTTAGACAGACAAATTGTAATGAATAAAAAATATATACAAACTGATTCCCTTGTCGTGCATGGATCAAAAATTTTGACGAAAGTTGAGATTATTCATCAGTGAATGTTCATTCAAAATACCTTGTACTAACTTAAGTTCAGTTGTATTGATCATCATTTCTCAAGCAGAATATATATTCTTAGTCGCTTTTGAAAACTTTATTATATCTGAAACAGAATCCAATGTTTGATATCAGCTCAAATTTGTACGTTCCAATGTATTTTTATTATCTCTAAAAATCAGCATTGTTTGTCACTTTTGCTGGTTTGCTCATTTTATAACGCATACCATTTGTTGCATGCATTGTTTATAATTTATTCCATATAGGTACTAACTTTGAAATTAAATTTTCGTTACAATGAGGGATGCAAAACCTCGCTTATAATGGTACACAGAAGGAAAAATCACCCGCCATTTCCTCAAATTCCAGGAGCAGGAGAAGATGTTCGAATTGTAGTTTCAATATAAAAACAACCACAGAGTGATCTATTTGTGTATTCTGTTAACGTCATATCGATGAATTCATTCGGACCAGGTGCCAGCCCTAATATCAAATACTGCGCCAGTGCCAGTGCCAATAATAATAGCAATTATTTATTTCTCTCCATATTCTGTGTTTGGCTCGGTAATAATCAAATGAAGGTAAACAATATCGTTGTGTGAGGCAAAAAGGTATTACTTGCTGAGATCATTCAAAAACGAATAAACTAGCAGAAATGTGAATCTTGAAGGCTTTCCTGTTGTTTATTCTTGATGATTCACTTCCTAGGAGCTGAAGTTCAACTTTTGCTGTTTGTGTCACTAATAAAAACGTCAATTCGAGAGCTAATTTTGGAATTGAACTGGAGGACTTTTCTGTCGGTTGCAGAATAAAATGTATACTTATCCATAGAAAATGATCGCACTGAATTCGCTGTTTTTCAATCTGTTCCGATTGATCTGGAAAGTTTTCCTTTCCTATATGTATGATAGACCCCGACAATGTTTTCGTGAGACCTCAATAATATATTTCTCCAACCTCGAAAGTTTCGCAAGATGGTCCAGTGTTGCCACCTGAGTATAAGAAAGAATCCCGTGAAGACGGATACATTGTCCCATATGTTAACTGAATATCCCTTGAAGCTCAAATGAAACGTTGAAAATTCAGTGTTCATTTTTGGGAATATTATCCTCATTGATGGTTTTTTTTTCGAAAAAATCATGGAGGTGATATAACTAATAGTAGATAGTTTTTTCATGATATAACAACAAGGTTTTCAATTTGAACCCTATCAATTTCTCCAAACTATCTCTGATTATCAATACCATAATCGAAAAAATAAATGTTGATTTATAGAGGCTTTGGTGAATGAGGGATCATACTACGAATTCCAATTCATATTTACTCTGATCAATTTCCGGTAAGAATCCTTGCGTGAATTAATCAGATGGCTCTTTGTATGGTTGAAAAATGATATACAGAGGATTCTGACTAATGAAATATATCAACTATGGATTCTTTTTCTTTTCAAGAAAATCGTCGATATTTCAGATAGTAACTACTTAATGGAAAATTCAGATTTAGACCTTCTTCAATTTTGTATACCGAGAGGAGGAAAAATCTTCTCAGAGTAAGTAGTCCCATTCTTCCTTGTGGACCTCAGCAATCCCTCTCAAATGGTGATTTTCATCAAGGTGGCAACACTGAAGGTGGCTCTTTCTAGAAATCAGTGGTTCCTAAATTATTCGGAAGCTAATATATGACATCACAAAAAATATTATCCAATCCAAATTCCCGAATTTCACGAATATACCAACCAGAAATCTTGTGGAAACTTCAATCAGATTGCCGAGTTTTTTCCGAATTCACAAATATTCTGTTCATAATAATTGTGTTCTGAATGTTACTGAAAACAGTTAATTCCTCATCCATATTTGTTCATTGTTAACAGACTATTTACAATTCAAATTGAAAAAATAAATGAATACTTCATTGTATATACAAATTACCATGAGTGAGATAACACAAACCCAATAATATAGGTAACGTTCTACGAACATTTTATTTGACTGAAAGTGGTATGGCACAAACAAATTTTAGAATACAAAGTGATGTATAGTAGACTAATAGGAAACTAATCGAACGTTCTTTACATCAACTTTCATTCAACTCCATGTGGTGGAAATATTTTTTTAGAGCATTGTCGCTTGAGTCAAACATTTAATGTAATACAAATCTGTTGATACGATCCCAAACTATTATTTTTTCGACCATTACATGTGACTTGAGGAGGTGGAAGTGTCATATTTTTCCGTGGACACCATGAAGAAACATTTCTGGAAATATATTAATTTATTCACTTGTCATGGTTACCATTCCAAAATTAAAGCATTTTTTTGAATGTATGAATGAATTTTTCACAGTCAATCAGTCAATGTATCTTCCTCAGGTACAGCTATTCCAAAATGACGGAAGTTTGCGACATAGATGCCATGTTAAGTCACGTGGGAGACTTCGGTAAATTCCAGCTCCTGCTGATGCTCTTCTTCAGCCTGATCAATATCCTTTCAGCGTTTCACTATTTCGGGCAGACCTTTATCAGTGTCGTCCCCGAATACGAATGTGTCTTTCCTGGCAACAAAGAAAATGTGGTCATAGACCAGTGCGAATTAACGATGTTTTCAGAGAATAGTTCCCAGTACAGTATTCCGTGTCCCAATGGCTGGAACTTCAACAAGAATACCACCTTCGGTTACATCGGGATCATAGAAGATGTATGTAGGTACCTGATTTTGTCTGTAAGTAGATTGTATTTGTGCGTTTTTTAGCTGAATTGGGTTTGTGCAGATGATTGGAAACCAGCTCTAGGACAGTCTGTGTTCTTCGTTGGTTCAGTTGTAGGAAGCCTGACGCTGGGAGTGCTAGCAGATATGATAGGACGCCTTCATGTGCTAATCATTGCAAATATGTTGGCATTCATCGGGAACATTGCTACCATTTTTTCCAGTAACGTTTCAATTTTTGCTGTCAGTAGATTCGTAGCAGGATGCGCCACAGACTCCAATTTCGTGATGATGTACATAATAGGTCAGTGGAACAATAATACTAAGGCCATCACTTCCCGAGCAATGTCATTCCTGTGAACTATCATTGGCAAAATATTGGTATTTTTCAATGGTAAATTACAAAAGTGACCCACTGGCCAATATATTGGCAAAGCAGTACTTCCAATTATTGGTTATTCATTGTTGGCTGAGTGATGACTGACAGACGTATCTTCAGTGAATGAAAATTAAGCGGTTTTTACTCACACAAATAATTTGTTGTGGAGAGAAAATATCAATAACTACAATCGAGACAGAGCTGAACATCTCAAGAATTTTGTTTTTGTTGCTTGATGTATTAACTATTTTCTTCGGGTATATCTCTGAAATGAATTATTTGTGAATTTCAAGTCACCTTCAAAATAACAGCAGTAGTTAGGTGAAAGTAAAGACTTCGATACTCAGGAGTTAAACTTCATGAAATAGTTACTGTTCCACATACACTATACTTATTAGTAGTATGGTAGTATATGTACTTCGTTGGTATGTATGTATATATGTACATATCAACTGGCCATCGACCTGACGAGAGGTCCTTCAGCCTATGTGTGTTCTGTGTAGGCTTTGTTACTAACCCCATACGCCACCTTAGGAGCAGCACTTATTAGAACGCAACAGGAAATCGTGCGAAATCATATCTTGCCGAGGCTGCGAAAATAAGAGTTTATAATTCGTTATATAAATGAAAATTCTCTGCCCTGCCGAGGATTCGAACCTAGCAATCTGTCGATGTTCTGGTTACTATTCGAGCACCTCAACCACTGAGCTATTCCGCCGTCTTACTATACTTTATTCAATTCTTATTTCCAATTGATGAGAATCAATAACATACTTATATTCAACTTTGTGCCTCTTTCTCTCACTTCTCATTTTACAATGACGAATTGACAAATGACGATACAAGCGAAAAGAATCAATTACGTTAAATCATCGTTCTACCAGTACTTTTGTAGTGATCTTTCTGAACTGGAAAAAAATATTGATTCCCCAATGCAGTAAAAATCATGTAGGTAATCTTGATTCACATACATCTATACAAAATTGAATGTTGTACCAGTACAATGAAAGTGCCACATACGTATTATATGATGAGAAACAGCAATGAATGTACTTTTTTATCACCTGCGAATAGTTGTTTGCTCGGTATTCATAATCAATCACCCCCAGGGACGAACCGAAAGAGAATTTGGGGGGGGGGGGAGTAAGTGAATTTTGCCAACTCATTTATGACTTTTAAATTTTTGTTTTGGGCAAAAAATGAATAAAATGAAGGACGTCACGGTTTTCCTTTGTTGTCTCTTCATTTATTTACAATATGATTTTCTCATCAGTCCAGGAAATTTAAAAAAAAATTACAAGTTTTTACTGGGAATTGTTCTAAATTGTTGTTGTTGAATACTGGGATATAGAAAATGTCATTTTCTATGATGAGCTACGAGTCGGAAATTCAGAAAATGCAGTTGGAAATCTTGAGTTTGTAAAGAGTATTACATTTTCAGATCAAAAACCTATGACTGAGAATTTCATTTTCCGAATTGTAACTTGATATTTCCTACTCAAAATTCGGAATTTGATATTTTCGAGTTCAAGCTTTAAATTCTCAACTAATCAGTCGAAAACTTCGAGATTGCTGTTGGAAGTTCATGGTTTGAACAGGTAATGTAATTTTCCTTCATGATCAAACTTGGAAAGTCCGACTACAACATCCAAATTTTATATTTTTGAAGTTGTAAATTCTTAGTTTGAAGTAGGAAATACCTAGTTTGAAGTCAGGAAGTTTGAAGTTACCCCATTTTTTTGTTGTTGCAGTAATGGAATATATGAGGCCGAACTTGAGAACCATGGGCCTGAATTTGTGCATAGGGGTGTTCTACTGCCTTTCCTGCACTGCGATACCTTGGGTGGCAGTTTTCTTGGGTAACTGGAGATTCTTTTTGGTGTTCGTCTCGCTACCTCACCTGCTGGTACTTGGTTTCTACTTGACGGTGCCAGAAAGTGCCCAATGGTTAGCTAGCAAAGGGAGAACCGAAGAAGCCATCGACTGCTTCAGAAAAATAGCCAAGATCAACGGATATAATATTGATGAGAAAGCTGTGGAAGGTCTCAGAGTCTACTGCAAGGACCATATGAACGTGAAAACGGAGCATGAGAGTCTTCTTGGGTTATTGAAGACACCTAAGCTCAGGCGGAAAACGCTCATCCTCATTTTCAAATCGTAAGTGAACTAGGCAAAAGGCCTAGATTACGAATTACGAATGGTCTCTCCTACTTTGTCACCCTGTAATTTGAAAAGTGAATCATGAGTTCAAAATCAGTTTCTAGTTTCGAAAATCCTCATTCCTTGGTTATAAACTAATTTCAACAATAATTTGACAATTCGACAACCATGGAAGAAATGAGCAAGACAGTTTGACATGCAGACGCAGACACGGAAAAGTCACTTTACGTACGTGTTAGGTACACTATTTTTTCTACTAGCGTGAGTTGAACACCCTATATTTTATTGAATATCTTGAAAGATTGATTTTTGCTGATTTCAAATATATATAATTTTCATACATTCCATGGAGTAATACTGGGTTAATCGAAGGAATATAACTTGAAATTGATTGAAATTGTGATCGTAAAATTATATATTTTTGAAATCAGCAAGATATACAATGAAATATAAAGTGTTCCTTTAAAAAAATATATCACACCCCCCGTATATGGATTGGGAATATAATGTTTGGAGAGCACCATTATAAAGAGAAAAACATCTTATTAAAGATTTTGTTTCGAAGTTTTCAATATCTTGATTAGTTTTCGAGATATTGTACTTGTGCTATCTGCGAATTCGTTCTTCATTCCAGGATGGTGATGACCCTTTGCTACGACGCCATCTCCCGAGACGTGAACGGCCTCGGCTACTCCCCGTTCGTCGTCTTCTCGATCACCTCCCTGACCATCCTCCCGGCCTGCCTGTTCATCCTGGCCGTGCAGGACAAAGCGGGCAGGAAAGCTCTGGCCAGCAGCTCGCTGCTGCTCAGCGGCATCTTCTCCGCCACGTCTGGCGTCCTGAAAGCCCTGGCGGAAGACCCCGATCCCAGGACGATCGTTGTCCTGGCGGTGATCGCCCGATTGGGCATCAACGTGGCGTACAATTCGGGGGCGCAGTACGCCGTGGAGTTAATCCCCACCGCGGTGAGGGGCCAGGGGGTGGCTGCTATCCACGTGACCGGCTATGCGGCCAGTTTCTTCAGCCCGCAGATCTTGTACCTGGCCAGCTACTGGGCGCCAGGACCGTCTGTTATTTTGGGGGGGCTGCTGGTTTTGGGCGCCCTGGCTTGCTTGTTTCTGCCGGAGACTCTGAACAGGGCTCTTCCGGTTACTTTGGAGGATGGGGAGGAGTTTGGGGAGGGGGAAGGGGTTTTTGATTTTGCTTGTTGTAGGGCGTCTAGCGAGAGTACCGTGGCTCTGGATTCCGAGGGTTCGGTGAGGGCTTGACAGGGTTGGGGCATGGGGCACGTTAATTTTATCGGATTCGATGATCTCATGATATAGCACACGTTCTTAGTCCATTAAGTTTGTCCAATAAATTCACGTCGACGAATTTAGTGGAGAGTTTTATTTCGGAATGTCATTTTACCAGAAATCTATACTAATATTATAAAGAAGAAAGATTTGTCTGTTTGGTTCCGAAACTACTAGAACTATTTTACAGGCGATGCGTCTATGGTCAGGACCGATAAATTGGTGTCGGCTTCATTCTGTTCTGGCCTGATATCGGTAAATGAGGAAGGATAGTTGGCAAACAGTGGGATAGAAAAATGTATAATTATATGGATACAGCTCATAGAACACACACCTCTACAGTTCTTTCCCGAGATGCCGATCGGGATTCTTATTCTGTTCTGTGATAGTTTCGTCAGCCCGCAGGTCTTTTACCTGGTCAGCTACTAGGCGTCAGGACCGTCTGATATTTTGGAGGGGCTGCTGGTTTTGGGCGCCCTGGCTTGCTTGTTTCTGCCGAAGACTCTGATCAGGACTCTTCCGGTTACTTTGGAGGATGAAGAGGAGTTTGGGGAGGGGGAGGGGGTTTTTGATTTTGCTTGTTGTAGGGCGCCTAGCGAGAGTACCGTGGCTCTGGATTTCGAGGGTTCGGTGAGGGCTTGACAGGGTTGGGACATGCGGCAGGGGGCAGATCAATTTTATCGTATTCGATGATCTCATTATATAGCACACACTCTTAGTCCATTGAGCTTGACCAATAAATTCACGTCGAGGAATTCACTGGAGAATTTCATTTCGGAAGGATAAAAATTATTCAACTCCGAGTCTTGAAAGAAAAGAAAATCACGCTTGAAATCCTAAATCAATACACAAATGATCACAGTGGGCTAACGCCATGTGGACCGGAATAAAACTCGCTGACCAAACTCAGCCTCCACAATTTTATAGCAAAAAATATTCTTAAAAAAACACGAATCCCAACATATCACGTGATGGGAGTGGTTCGAATTCAGAATAAGTATCATGAGCAAAAAACAAGAGAATTTCTCAGTGACGATTTTATTAATTATGAGAAGGACAAGGAAAATAAACAAGATTCATGTATTCATGTCGCTTACTATATTTTGTATCGTAACAAAATGTTTGTTATTAAATTAACCACTATACAGGTGAATGTATAATCCATGATTTTCCATTGTTTCGTTCTTGACGTTTCATCTACCAATGTAAAATGGTCTATTGGATGAATAAATATTCTATTCTATGATATGATAATCAATAAATATCATGGTCAGTATAACTATATGTTCTGAGATCGATCAGAAATACAGGTCAACATCGAACATGATTTGCTGATTAGTCTTGATACTGAACGATGCATTATTGGGACATTTTTTTTAAACCCATAGAACTTATATGAAAATTCACTTAAGGGGGTTTGAAGCCATGAAGAACAATATGTGGCCAGTTTTCCTGTAAAAAAAATCCTAATACGATTCTATGACAAATTGCCCCATCTCATTTCAATAAAAACGCACGGCACTGTCGAAAATGATGTCTATGAAAAACTGATCATATTGATGGTTATTCATACCGATCAAAATTCGCACGACTAATAGCTAAGATACAGAGAGCCGTTTGAAATAATGCTCTTCACAGAAGACGTCTCTCGTAAACGGTTTTCACCCTGTATATAGTGGATGGAGTAGATTATGAAGCCACCATAACTGTCACTGCAATAATTATATATGTGATTATAATAATTCTGAACACACTTCTTTTGCATAATCCCTAATTTTCACATAGCATGTTCCAAATATTTGAGGTTTATTTCATCAATTATTATGTGACCTAAGTTACAACAAATAATGCTTGTTGCCTATTCTACAGACGAAGCGTCTCGGGTCAGGATCGTAAAATCGGTGTCGGCTTCATTCTGTTCTGACCCGATATTGGTAAATGAGGTGGGATAGTGAATATATGGATAGAACACATAGAACTGAGCATAGAATCTTTAGAACACACCTCTACAGTCTTTTCCCGAGACGCCGATCGGGATTCTTATTGGGTCCTGTGACATCGGCGTTCCGAAGTAGGAATGTATAAGGTAGTTGGCTTCATTCTGACAGGTTGAGAAAGTAGTAGTTTTATTATTTATACATCGAAATATCTCAAATAGAACTCGATCCTAAACGGTAATATAATCAAATCAATGGATCGTTATCTGTTACTTTTGATGATACTATATCATTTATCCGTTCTCAAATAAATTTCCTGCTATCAGGTCAAAACAGAATGAAGCCGACACCAATATTTCGGTCTTCCTAGTACGAGTCGCTCGTAGTTACCTTATGACATGACAATGACTCATTTCTCATTTCCATCATTGACATTACTGTCGTCTGTCCTGTCATTAAAAAACATATATCTACTACTCATATATGAAGCATAGCTCTCTTGAGAGCGGGCCCAACTTCTGTCTCTATAGGTAACGAAATCGACCAATAGGCGTTGATGCCGACGTAGGGAAAAAATAATACGAAACCAATATGACTGTTTCCATCCTTCACTTTCCGTCCTTATAGCGTTGATTGATATATTACGCTTACGCTGCGTAAGCGTAATATATCAATCAACGCTTATAGATTGAAAAATAACCTCTCATTTTGGTCCCATTTTTGTTGAGGTATCCTATAGGCGATGCGCAATATATAGAAATAGTAGATATGTGTTAAAAAAAAACTGGAAGTGTCATCCTATCCTGTCATCATCATGGTGTCATTGTCATTGGTGATTGGTGTCTCTTGCCTTCAATACAAGCAATAACAATATAAAAAAGTGCTCCTTTTAATAAAATGTGAATAATAGTTTACAATATTGATTTAAATACTCGAAACGTGATGCAGTCATAAATATGCTGATACATTCAGAATGGATCCAAACGGCAACGGAAAGAGAGGTTTACCAAGACTCAGAGAAATCATCAGACGTCAACGACAGGATTCAGATGTACATATTTGTTTTTATTTATAAAAATTCTGCCTTATTATCAGAATTTATATAAATACATTGAACGAGTTTGAGTTGCTAATCGGTGTTCTCAATCAATATTGTGAATTAGACAGTGCTTTTCAGTTTATATTGCATCAATGAATCCTTCAATTGTGCCACTGTAAATGAAGCCAAATCACAATGTTCTTTTTACTTCAGGGTGGTTGTGCAGATTCCCCAGATCTGGAGTTTAGTTATGATGATTCAGACACCCATGTCAATGAAATTGCAGAGCTGTACAGCTATACTGAACAATCAGAGCTTCAACTCAATGTTAAAGCTTTTGAAGACCAAATGGAAACATATGACTTGCCACCAAGTTGGCAGAAACTTGCTACTACAGAAAGGACTTCGGTAGTAATGAAACTACTAGACCAGCTTGAAGTTAGCAGTAAGCCATTGAGAATGAGGAGTGCTAGATGCTTGTTGTATATAGCACAGGGCTGCTGGGCAGAAATGCAATCAGATGCTGAACAACAACAATGGGCAAGGACTAATTCCATGTTGCTTTATCAGTTAGGAGTGTTTAATGCCTTCACTGACCTCCTTAATATTGAATTTGAGTAAGTTGAAATCTAATAGAATTATCAATATATCTATATTATTCAGTGCAATTTACTATACAAGGAGACTCTTGTCACTCAGTTATGAAATTAACTGACTGAAATCAAATTAAGCTAAAGAAATCTTCAGGAATACTGACCTCCATTTTTCCCCTTATCTAGATCATATCAAGCAACTATATTTTTGATCTGTTAAACTATTTGAATTCAACCTGATTTGTTTTATACATTTTCTTGTCACATTTCCTCAGGAACAGGTACCTGATTTTCATGATTTTTTTAGTGCATCAAATTTTCTTCAGATATTTCAATTCTGTAGGGTTTTGTAGCTTTTATATTGGGATAGCTCAAAAATGTTTGGATTATAATAATTTTATTGCAGGAATAGTACTGCAGCTCATGTTGCAATGAGAAAAATAGCTATCTCTCTAGCTGATTCCCAAGATTTGCGCGTGATACTCTCTGTTCTTTATACAATAACAGAAGTTATAAGAAATGAAAAGGACTGTGAGTCAACTGAATATGAACAAGAAGTGACATCTTTCTGTTATGAAATAGGTAATCAAGTCTTATATTGAAAATATATCAATCTCATTCATATTTATGTTTAATAGCTTTCTCTTCTGCTGATGATTTGCTGCCGGTCAAACTTTTGAGTATGGTGACAAGATTCTGCAGTGGATCTGCCCCTCACTTTCCAATGAAGAAAGTCCTGCTGTTACTGTGGAAGTTGATATTGGTGTCACTAGGTGGCATGCCAAAGTTGAGAGACATGAAGATTGAAAAAAGGGCAAGGAATGGACTTGAATCACAAGGTGAGGACACCATGGAAATAGCTAAGACAATGAGGTCTTCTTCACCTCCAGCTAGTGCTTCTGATCTACTTGAAGCACAAAATCAGAAAAGAAATACAAGGCCATTCAGAAGGGTGAGTAAATTTAAAATTAATTAATAACAATAAGATAAATATTTCATCATATAAGTAGCAAATATTCATGTCTTATTATGGTATTCTTGTTTATTGATTCCCAAACAAACATTGACCAACATTTTGTATTCTCAAACCCAATATTGATTTTCTTTCAAATTGCATTGAAACCATTTCACAAAAATTCAATTTTCTTTATCAAGAAGTTCCAAAATGTTGGCTTCCAAATTATAAATTATTCAGAAAAATTTGGTAAATTTAAAATTAGTGAGTGAAACATAATTAACAATAAGATAAATATTTCATCATATAAGTAGCAAATGTTCATGTCTCATTATGGTTTCCTAGTTAATTGAGTCCCAAATAAACACTGATTAACATTTTGTATTCTCAAACCTCCTGAGACAAAATACGAGGGTGGCACTGATAACCCAATATTAATAATATTAATATTAATTTTCTTTATCAAGAAATTCCAAAATTTTGGCTTCCAAATTTTAAATTACTCAGAAAAACTCGGTATGCCCCTGAGCACAATTTTTTTTCTTAATGAATAATAAAAACTTTTTTTCCATATGGTTCCAACTTAATGAGACATACTGTGCATATAATGGTTAATACTTTGTATAATATATTATTAGATTCAAGTTAGATTTTAGTCAGGTTGTTAGGACTAGTACTGTATTTTTTTGGAAAAACAGTATCATTACTGTGATTGATGCAGAAAATGAAGTACTACTTCAATCAACCATTCATACACACACAACATGTAATTGGGGTAAAACCTGTTTGTTGGAATAAATAAATAAATAAATAAGTCAATAAGTCAAATACTCCTCAAAACATTGAAATTAAATAGACACTTGATTCCATCAGCACTCACTTTCTTTAGGTAGGTACTCCATATTTGTTATATTATTTGAATTATTGACAGTATGAACATTATGGTCAACAAATCATTAGAACTATTTTCGTTCCTCTGCCAATTCCACTCAATGGATATGAATTGATGAACAAATAAGTCACTATACAAGCATTATACAAGTAGGATCTATCTTGAAAGAGTGGGGTATGATTTTGGTACAACAGAAGGTATGTAGAGACTAGCTGTCCGGCAAGGCTTTGCACAGTTGGTGTACCCATTTAAAAAAAGACGTGCGCATATCTGCCCTACATATATTTCTTTTATTTTTTGTATTTTTTGTGCTTACCTATATCTCCTATTATATACTCTCACCTATTTCCCTTCTCTCAGAATCCTTTGCATTTTTTGTTGTTGTTTTGCATATTCAAAATTTCAACCCAGTCGGTCAAGCCGTTTAGTAGTTGACATACTGACAGCAGCGCCACATACCACGTCAAATTGTATTTTCAAATCATCCAGGCAACCATCCAAATCTAATATATAAAATTCTCCTGCCCCTGTCATGGTGTTTGTTGCCAAACTCCTCTGAAACGGCTGGACCAATTTATATGACTATAAAAATTTTCGTGCATATTCGGTAGGCATGACAATCGGTCATTTATTTAGCTATTTATTAAATTGAAAATTCAAGATGACTGATCCAATATGGCGGACGAGTTTTGTAATCCGATTTTTTTTTTCAAAATTAGTACTTGTGGGTTTTCGGGGTCGGAGATTTTGATCCTTTGGTATTTGGGGTTTTATGAGTGGGAGATTACGATTCATTCGCCAGAGTTTGGAAATTCAAAATGACAGATCCAATATGGTGGACGAGTTTTTTAGTTATGGTCCGATTCTATTTAAAATTGGTATCTGGGGGTTTTTCGAGTCGGAGATTATGATTCTTGCGTCAACATTTGAAAATACGAGATGGCCGATCCAATATGGCGGACAAGTTTTGTAATTATGATCCGGTTTCATTCAAAGTTTGTATCTCGGAGTTTTTGGGATCTGAGATTATGATTCTTTCGTCAATATTTAGGAATTCATGATGGCGGATCCAATATGGCGGACGAGTTTTGAAATTATAATCCGATTCTATTCAAATCGGTGTCTTGGGGTATTTCGGGGTCGTAGATTCCTCCGTCAAAATCAGGATATTCAAAATGGCGAATCCAATATGGCGGAAGAGTTTTGTAATTGTGATCCGATTCTATTCAAAATTGGTATCTGGGGGTTTTCGGGGTCGAAGATTATGATTCTTCAGTCTAAATTCAGAAATTCAAGATGGCGGATCGTGAACGAATTTAGTAATAATGGCCCGATTCTATTCAAAATTGGTATCTGGGAGTTTTCGGGGTCGAAGATTATAATTCCTCCGTCAAAATTAGGAAATTCAAGGTGGCGGATCCAATATGGCGGAGGAGTTTTGTAATTATCATCCAATTATATTCATAATTGGTTTCTGGGGGTTGCCGCAGATTATGATTCCTTTTTCAACATTGGGAAATTAAAGATGGCGGATCCAATATGGTGGTCTAGTTTTGTAATCATGATCCGACGAGTGATACGATTCTATTCAAAATTCGTATCTGGGGCTTTTTGGAAAGGTCGGAGATTATGATTTTTTTCTTGAAAATTGCTAAGCCAAACTAAAAAGAGGTAGAAAATCGATAGTATTGTTCAAAAAACTATAGAGTTTGATTGATGAACTGAAAAGAAGTAGGAAATGGATAGTTTAGTTTGAAAAGCCAAAGAAACACAATTTTATGGCTAGTCAAACTAAAAAGAAGTGGAAAATAAAATAATAAAAGTGTGATGATAAATATTTAACTAAAAAAATATTTTCTAGAAAAAATGTTTATGGTCAGCTAGTAACCATATAATATTCTAACCTCATCGGTTCGTTTAAAAGTTATGTGAAAAAGATTAGTACGGAAGGATAATTCTTAGTACCCGTTGTCCTATTACCCGTTTTCCCGTAGGAATTTTGCATTTTTCGCCGTAAAAAGGGATTATGGCGGCTTCTTATGGTAAAAGAACAGTTCAAATCGGTCCAGTAGTTTGGGAGCCTATTCAATGCAAACAACCAAAAAATCTTTCCTCTTTATAATATTAGTATAGGTAAACAACAAATGTCCAAGTATAGATCCTTGAGGCACTACTCGTGCATTTACCATAAGATCAGACATATGAATCATATGAGTAAGTATTTCCTTTACCAATAATTTTGACGGATTTTAACCTATTATCTATAAATAATCATATTGCAACGAGATCAAAACCGTCTCCTCTTATCAGAGTCTGATGAAGCAAAGCAGTCTCGACGACCAAGACACCATGGGAATGGAAATGGACGCTAACATGGCCGACAATGGCGACGACAACGAGCTGTCCGAGTACGACGAGCGCCGGCCCGCGAACGAGGCGGATTTCAGGTATGGTGACCAGAGCAGGGGGGTTTTGTTTCACGATCGTCGATTGTCATACGATTGTCGTACGATACTCGAAGTCGAATTCATTTCCTATTCTATTTCTCGATCAAATAGCAATCGAATTCGACTTCGGTTTTTTGGCGAAATGGGATGAGATTTTGATCCAATGAAACGAGCTTGGAGACCATAGCCCCAAAGCCAACACAAACTTGAGGTTATGGTGGTTATATTGTTTTTATGAATTTGAATTTTTTCAATCCCAAGACAAGAATAGAAATCATTCTACTATGAAACAAAAGTAGGTACATACCTAATCCTTTTTCATTACCTGAAAAATGATTTATTGATCCATTAAACGATAAGCTATTTAGATTGAACAAAAGGTTCGTCTTCTGATACAATCATTGAGACCCCACTAATTGGTGGATAGGGCAAAGTATGAAGGAAATTGGCATACAGAATCTCAAATATTCTGTGCATTGAGGTTTTATGAAACTGGATCATAGCAAACATGTTGCAAAGACCTAATGAATTTACTTGGCTTAGCCTAATTCACAGTATTTTATTGATGGTCACGACCATTAGACTCTGAAAATCATCCTGTGGCCGTGGCCATGTTCTGAGCTGTTCTCAAAATGTTATCAACATTTTCCAGTGGGCATCTCTGAGTTTGAACCACATCGAAAATTAATTATATATTATATTTATGAACTATTAAGTTGATTACACACTTTTAAAGCTGTGCTTTCACATAAACAAGATAATCTAACCTCAAATTGGGATGAAGATGAAAAGGAACATTCCATGATAGATAAGGATAGATTGACAAAACGCATCGACTCGAAGTTTACATGATTCATTCGATAAACAGAATACCAAATATCGAATAAAGATGGCCGATTCGACTCGATTGGTGAAATAGAATCTCCCTGCAGACGTACTCTTGTTATAGTGTTTGGAGGCTCTGTCTTCGTACTCTATATGTATATTTTTTCATTTGGGAGGTAAATGTCCTGTTTTCTGAAGTCGGACCCGTTTAGACGGTGTATAGGCATAATTTGATAATGCGATAAATAATGAATACGAAAAAACTGAAAAAATATCAGGGAAGAATGAAATTTAATTCATCATTATCTGGTTCTTTCAATTCGTGTTTCAGCACAAAATGCAAACCTTGAGGGATTTTTCTCCAAAAAGTATAATTGTGAAAAATTTTATGATCGTTTGATTTCCAATAAAGATATTTCACACAGCATATCATCTTCAGAAAAATATGCTTAGAAAATATGTTGTACTAGGTTTTACCCGTGGCTTCGCTCCCGTTGATTTCGTGCAACGTGCAACTTTTGCTGCTAGGGACTCTGGAAGTCTAGACAGTTCAGATGTTACGCTTCCGAGGCATTTCAAGAAACAGAGTGAAAATGTAAACCAAAAACTAAACCAATAAACTGACACCTAACCTCAAAAATTGATATTTTTTTGTTGCATAGGGCACGTGCACATATGATGGAGTATTTGTTGTACCCTGTCTCTAGATAGATCAACTCAGGTGGTATTGAATTGGTGCGTTCTGATTGGGAAGTAGACTAAAACATCATGTCATTCGTGGTCAAGTCACTGAATAGCAAGAATTCTGAAGGGTATCTCCCATGCAGTAATGAATTTGCGCCTTCGAAGTGCCCACCTATTGTTAGACTAGATATTTGTCATGTTCATTTCATCAACTAAATATTCCGAGATTTACGAGTCCCAAATGACGTATTCTAATAATCTAATATCTATATTTTCATAATACATTATAATTAGATGTAATGATGAAATTAGGAAAATTTGAATTATTCCAAAAGTAGAATTCGGATATTTCAGTTGAGGAACAAACATACAGAATAAATATACATAAAATATTTATGTTATATAATTAATGTATGATTAATCCGTCAATTGTTTCAGACACAGGCGGTAGTTCGGGAAACTTTTGTCCCTCCTTTTTATATAGATATATTTTTGTATCTCTTGGAGCGCACGAAAGGAAATTCCTATAATGTTCGTGGAACTTCGTGTGTACCTAGGGAGGATATGGAGAGGAGGTAGGTGTTGGGATTGTTTCGAGATTTTGGAGGTTATAAGCTCTTGGGAATACTTCCATTGTTGAAGAACTCCAAAGCTTCGCCGTTCTATAGACGAACGAGTTTTGGTAGAGTGTTGTTCGACAGTTTTCATGTTAAACGACGAAGGGATGTGCTGAGTAGTATATTGCTATTGATGGATGAAGCAGATATCTCTGAGGAACATTTCCCGTGGAATCATCAATAAAAAAATGAAAGGTCGCCGACGATATGTCTATGGTTCACCCTGATTTCAGGAACAACCACGACATGTACAGGCCCGTGTCGCCCAACGTCCAGAACGCTCTGATGCTGCCCAGAGGGCTTCCTTGGAAGCCGAAGGTTCGGCAGAAGGATATCGACGCGTTCCTGGATGGGGCCAGGATGAAATTCCTTGGATACAGTTTGCCGGGAGATAGGTCGACCTTGTTCGGATTGCCTGAGCCTATTCATGAGGGTGTTAGGATTTTGAAAGAGGTGAGTGTTATGAAGGGGACTGCTTTGGAACTTCATTGTTCAATTAATATTTTAATGTTGCATGTTACATTCTTCATGACACATCATTTTCCTTCAATTTATCATATTTTCAAGAGGTGAGCAGCAAACTTTTTACGGTTCGTTTTCTGATTGGTGAAGCAAAATCTAGAATTAAAATGACCCAAAAAGCTATATTTAGCTCTTTGTGTTGCAAGATGCCATTATCTGTGAAAATGGTAAAAATAGACAAATACAGTACAAATATTTTTTATAATATCAAAATATTTAAAACCAGTCCTATATTTTTACAAAAATGTTTGCAAATCTTCGCAAAAACCAACACCTTTTTCACTGTATGACACATTTTTCTCATTTTTGTTAACATATTTGTCATCAAATTTAATAGGTGTCATATAGCATTTATAGAATCGTAAACAGCTTGACCGATTTCACTAATTGTTTTGTTGTTGTGTTTGTTATTGTCAGGAGAAGGTTCTTATGAGAGAAAAAAATAAGAAATTCGAGGTGGCGGTTCCAATATGGCGGACGAGTTTCGTAATTACAGCCTGATTCTTTTCAAAATTAGTATCTGGGTTTTTGGGGTCGGAGATTTTGGTTCTTTTGTAAAAATTGGAAAATTCGAGATGGAGAATCCAATATGGCGGACGAGGGGTCGAGGATTATGATTATTTTCTCAAAATTTCAAAATTCAAGATGGCCGATCCAATATCGTGGACTACTTTTATAATTATGATTCTTTCGTCAAATTTTGGAAATTAAAGACGGCAGATCCAATACGGCATACGAGTTTATTAATTATGATCCGATTCTATTCAAAATTGGTATCTAAGGGATTTCGGTGTCGGAGATTATAATCCCTCCTTCATAATTAGAAAATTCAGGATGGCGTCACACCTGCGTCGTAATGTTGAAAAGCAATTATTCACCATTTTCGGCGCATGCGTGACATTCTCATAACGTTTTTTTTTTTTCACTTTTGTGAGCTCGTGTATATAGTATAGGAAAGATAGGGGGTAATTGACCCAAAGCACTTCTGCTTTCAATGGGATACTTATTTTCAAAGTTAATTTTTTGTAATGATGTTTTTGGCCATTATTTGTTTTTTCACATTGAAAACAACGTGAACTTGCATTTGTATTTGTAGTGGAAGTTCTGGAAATTCGTCATGTTTTGGCTGATTTTATGAATTTCGGTATTTTCTTTTCTACCAGGACGTTTGAAATGGATTTTTTAGCACATATACACATCCCTGACGGAAATGCAGATCCAGAAGGAAGAGGAAATAGCTAGGAATCCGATTTCAACTAGTGAAGGCGAAATTGAAATGACCGCAACAGAAATACTCTATCAAGCTATGTTGCCTAATTTACCCCAATACATGATAGCTCTGTTGAAGATATTATTGGCGGCCGCCCCTACTTCCAAAGCGAAAACCGACTCTATCAACATCATGGCTGATGTTCTACCAGAGGAAATGCCGTAAGTTCTCGCATATCTGCTTCACAAAAAATGTCGTATTTAATATATAATTTTCAGTATGACTGTTCTGCAATCGATGAAGTTAGGGATCGACGTGAACCGACACAAGGAGATAATTGTCAAGTCGGTGTCTGCCATTCTGCTACTTCTACTGAAACACTTCAAGCTGAATCACGTTTATCAGTTTGAGTTCATGTCTCAACATTTGGTTTTTGCTAACTGTATACCGCTGGTGCTGAAATTCTTCAATCAGAACATCATGGCCTATGTTGGAGCTAAAAATGCGTAAGGCACTTGATGTTTCCTTTTTGTTGTCCGTTTTTTTTTAAATTTCAGCTTCGTATTGGTCGATATTCAAGAAGCTGAATAAGTATTATGTTCAATGTCTGAATTACGGGTAACGTAATTTATGTGCCCACCAAAAAATCAATTTCAATTTAACATTGTTCTAGTCATAGAATGTCATAGCCTGTATTTTCCAGTTACCACAAACTCGTCTTTATCATTGCATGTGAAGATGTTTTTCATCATTAGAAGGTACTCACTTGTTGGTGATTTCAATATCAGCTTCTGTAGAACAAGTTTCCTTCAGATGAATTTTCATAAAATAAGTTCGGAACCCCTCAGTTTCATGTCCACTCTGTACAAAACGGCGATCGATAAAGTTCAAGTCGTTTTTATTTTTGAAGCAAATTTCCTATTTTCGAGGCGGAAAACTGTGACGTATATTCTGAATCTAGTCTGAATTTCGTTGATGTAGCTAACAGCTAACGAAGAAAAAAATAGAAGAAGAAAACTTGGCATCGTTGTTGATTATATAATGAAAAATAAGGATGATCAACTAACTAACAAAACAACTATGAACTGTAGACATAGGCTAACGAGAAACTGTAGTTTAAAAATCGACACAAGTAAAACTGGTGAACAAAAACATACATAACCACAAAAGCTGATCAGTTCTCGGTGTGCCTGTCAGTATTTTGTGTGGTGTGGATGGGCTCAAAGTATCATGCACTGTTGCAAGATATTATCTGCAACTTTCCTAGAAAATAGATCCGTTTTATAAAAGACTGACTTCATTTAGAAAAATAATGACTAACAAGTTCTGATTATCATTTTTTATTCAATGAAACTGAAAAATTATAAATACTATTGCAAAATATCATAATTCATCTTCATTCATTCAGCAAATATGAGATTCATGAAATTTATTTATAATACCAGATATTATCGATATCCCATTGCTGTTATGATATAGTTATAATGTATTCAAAGAACAATTTCCGAAAATCTTTACAACATATTAATGATGCCTACAACGCCGTAATGACACAGAGGGAATGGTATTTTATGTGGCTTTCCATAAAGTACGTTATCGGAATGGTGAAGGAGTCAAGTCCCTTTTTCATTTCTGTTTCTGAAGTGCAACTTCATCTTATGAAAAAAAGAAGAAATGCGTACCTATATATTAAATTTTTTCAAACTTCATTGAGATGAAAACCTCAATATTGGAAAGTTCCCTATTCATGAACTATCAATGAACTAAACACACTTCCTATTGAAACAGAAGTCCAGCTAACTAGCATAAATGATCTCTTCTTGAGCATTCCCACGTTATTTTCTTTTTCAGGATACCAATTCTTGACTTCCCTTCTTGTGTTATTGGCGACCAACCGGAGTTGACCTCAGAGAGTTTGGAAATCGGAGATTCAGCGGCATTCTCTTGGAGAAACATGTTTTCTTGTATAAACTTGCTCAGGATATTGAATAAACTGACTAAATGGAAACATTCCCGCATCATGGTAAGTTCCCTCATCGCCACCACAGAATACCCAGTTGGGTATTCTGTGTCGTCACTTGATCAAATTATTCACCGCCGAATTTCCAGATGCTAGTCGTTTTCAAATCGGCCCCAATCCTGAAGCGTACTTTGAAAGTTCGCCATGCTATGACACAACTTTATGTACTCAAGCTTCTCAAAATGCAGACCAAATATTTGGGCAGGCAGTGGAGAAAATCCAATATGAAGACGATAAGTGCTATCTATCAGAAAGTCAGGCACAGGCTCAATGATGATTGGGCCTTCGGAAATGGTAAATATCTCCTACAACTAACAAAAATTGAGCTCTCTCCTATCTTGAAAGAGAGAGAGGAAAGCTGTCCGATAAATCTTTCCTTGTCTAACATCTAGTTTGTGCCATTCTGCCTCTGAACTATTTTTTCCATTCCCACTCATGAAGCATGGTTGTCAAGTCACCAATTAAAACCAAATTATTAAAAACTTGTTTCAGTCCTGTCGTTGAATAATATGATATCCAAATTGAATATTTCATTTAACCTAACAGCTGGAAGCGATTATATTATAGTTATTAATTTGTGACTTTCCAAGTGACCAGCTTGTTGAAATATTTCTCATACTTCGTAACAGAATATCATGTAAATATTGGATAGGCTGAATACTTGGCAATGTTGTGCTAAACGCTGTACGGGTTGGTGTTGTTTCACAAATAAGGCAAATGCAAAGGTCCGTTAGACAGTTTATTCGCAGCATACACCAATCTAAAATTGCGTAATTATATCAATCCCGGCACCTCACCTAACCTCAAATAAGCTTTAAATATCAGTCTCCAGAAAGGAATAGTAGGAAAATAGCGACTCGTATACATAATGATAGTGACTTATCTAAAACCAGGCACCCTGGCTCATAGTAGCACGCTAATATTTGGCAGTTACACCCAAAGGCGTATCAAAATGGCTACTAACAGCCCTTATACGAAGTCCAAGCTTCAGCAGCAAGATCTTCGACTTTGCAGGACAAGACGGCGCAAGAACCTACTGCAACGCTCAGTAACATTGAAATCTTATACTCTTAGCGACATCTGAAGGAGGGTCAAACAAGGTAGGTAACGGTAAGGATGCAGACTAATAGGAATCTAACACGGTATTTGATTATCCCGGACAGATATCTGTAAGGCAGTACAACGCTGTGAACTGACAAGACATCGCCCACAATCCTCTGTTGTCAGTTTAACCTGAAGAAATCTCCTCTAGTGTGAACTGATATAATTATATTATTGACACAAATTCATCATATGCAATAAGTCACAACATATAAGAAGGAAAATTACAAGACAACGATTTTTTTATAGCTAATTAAGAACATTATCAATACATAATTGGGAATTATTTATGAATTATTGAATAATATTTTTGTTCCCATTCGTTTTTCAACATATGGCAACTGTGCTATGGTCTGCCCCTAATTACGGAATCGTGACGTCAGTTTTAATTTGCGGTAAATTTCTTGCCGTTTGAAAATTACCGCGGTAATATTGATGATTTTAAATGATCCCCCCTCCTATTATGTCAAAAAGTAGGTATGATATTATTCAAGATTGTCAAAATTTGAAAGGTTTTTCAGTCAATGACAGTTTTGACATAGACATATCTCATCATATAACATGGAAAATAGTTCTGTGGCACAGACTAGATGGACAAGGAATGATTTGTCGAATCTCTCTATATTTTAATGCGGCGACATTGGTAGCACTGACGATAAAGATGGAAGAGGAGAGAACTTTGGTCTCTCTCATGTGTAATTCATTTTCAGATCTTGATGCGAGACCGTGGGATTTTCAAGCGGAGGAATGTGCTCTCAGAGCTTCCGTGGATAGATTCAATAATCGTAGATACACCCAAGTGAATGTAAGTTACCACACTGTAGTTTTCTAATGAAGAAGCTCAACTAGCTAAGAGATAAGAGATTAGATAGTTATTTATGCGCCGAGAACGAAAAACTGGTTATTATAGTCGAACCTGCAAATTGATAGCCGAGACCCGGGAGTGTTTTCGGGCGCATTTTAAATTTTGTTATGTTGGAAATGGATGAGAAATGCAGTGAGTTTTCTTTCCATACCGAATACTTGAAACAAATTACATTCCTGCAAGGCATTTATAGTGGAAGGAAAAAATTGTCAGTAATACTAATATTTCCAACAATTTATTTTATTCACCAATTCATTTCATCAAAACTGGTTTGTAGACAAGTATAATATATTTCTACACGTTTTACAAGGACTAAGCTATAACAAAAAATGAAAATATATTATGATCGAAAATTTCTGTTCTATTTTCATTCATTTATAGTGAAATTAATGAAAAAGAAACTTCATAAAACAATAAAACAAACATCTATGAAAGTGAAACAAAATCAAATAGTAAAATTTCTTCACGTCGCCTTAACGACTATTGACTGTTTGATTATTTAATATTTTGTACATGTGTTATATCATCACTGTGCCACTTTGGTGTACATCTACTTTGACAGAAAAAAGACGATGTTGAAAGGTCTTCAGACGATACGGGAAACCGTGCACTGAATATTCTAGGAATCACCTTTCAGTTCATAATATCATGCTCTTTTCCACATTTTGTAGACAGTCAAGTTACATTCTTCATGTAAAACAGTTGAGAAATATTATAATGAACCATCAATAAAACCCGTACCTTGTGGCATCATAAGTAATTTGGTGCAGTCGGTAGGATAGTTTTGTATAAAAAAAGAAACTTGTCAAACGACGACAACCTTCAGCACCAGAAGAAAATCATCAAGAAAGGATTGAATTTTCATCGATTCAACTACACTGCATAGTTGAATCTTCGGGGTAAAGGGTTATATCATCACTGTGATAGGACATTGCCACTTTGGTGTACATCCACTTCGACATGAACAAGACGATTTTAAATAATGTCGTCCTCAGACGATACGGAAAACCGTGCACTGAATACTCTAGGAATCTCTTTTCAGTTTATAATTTCATTCTCTTTCCCACATTTTGTAGACAGTCAAGATACATTCATCGTGTAATACAGTTCGGAAATTTCATAATAATCATCATAAGTTATTTCATGCTATTGATAGTATTGATTACCTATGTCAAGTTTACTTAGCGCTTTGGGCGATTCACGGGTGTTTATCCCTTTGGGCAGATATGATTCTCCATGTCCATCAAAAGTAAGATGTAATTTTTTTGTAGATGTCAACGAAAATAATATGTATTTTCCTTTTGTCCTTCGGGGTTTCAACGTAATATAACGAAAATGTTATGTTGGTAATACTAAAAATGAAAAGAAATGTAGAAGAAGGCGATTTTAATCTCAATATAAAATAGTTCTAATAGTATTTTGCTCCATTATTTTATGTTGTCTCAGGCGTATCTGTATAAAAGAAATATTACCTATCCATTTAATATAAGAGGTGGAATATGACAGCATGGAATCTTTCTACATACTGGGAGAGCAATAATAAATAATGAATTACCACAGGTCTAGACATTAGCTGTGATTTTAAGATATATTTTGACATCTAGCAACTATTGATGGCAAGTAAAATAAACTGATATTTACTGCATACAAAAATGAGCTTTTAGGAATGAAATAGGATTTTGTAGTTTTTGTGTCGGCACTTCTTGTGCTCTGAAATATTCTGATGAATCTGTGTACCTGAATATCAACATGTGTGCATCTTTGCTTTCAAGATTCATAGGTAAAAGTGCATTCATCATGCAATGGTTTTTCTCGAAAATTTTTATTGCTACTTACGTATTTTTGTTTGAAAAACACGAATTTGATAATGAAAATTAGCTATTTATCGAGATATTTCAAGAAAAAGTTCGATATTTCACCTTCTTTTTCCCCTTGTGTTGGATGCATTTACAGCTACTTGCTCTTCTTATTTTTTCATTGGACACTATACAGGGTGTTTCATAATTGAGCTACAGGGTGTTGAAATCAGAAGCGTACAGCGTTTTTTTAAACAAAACATTCAATATCAGGTCTACGAGGACATCACTGGTAAAAGTTGTTTCCACTTATAGTGGGTGTCTACTGAATTACCAAAAACAATATCCAAGAACTGAAGGAACAAAATTATTTGGTTTTTATTTTTTTACGCGAAAACGGTACGTTGTATGGAAGTGAGTCTAGGAACCAAATTTGCTCCAAAATAAATGAGAATTGAAAAAAAAATCTGGTTCTCAGGAAAATCAGTGGCGTACTATTTTTTTCTTCAAAAATTGTCAGTTCAAACCTCGTACGGACGCCACTGGTGAGGATTTTCAAATATCTTTCACGTTAAAAAATGCTCCTTAATAATGAAAAGGTGTATACGAAATATCATAACAATATCTAAGAGTGATAAAAAATTATGATGAAAAACTCTTTTTTTTCTTGAAATTTCATCACCCTGTAGCTCAATAACTAAGAGGTTTAGGACATATGTTGATATGAACTTTTCTCTTTGAAATCATCCAAGGATTATATCCCTTGAGGATCAGCATTCAATTATGAAACACCCTGTATATACTCATGATGTGCTTCAATGACACATTTTTATATAGAAAATTCAACAGGAAATATGATATTTATGGTGAGTTTCTCATATTTAGTGAACAAACATACCAAATGATGGCTATTTAATCAATAGTCAATCCAAATACGAGATGTCAAATGTCAACAGATTGCTTTTGAATGACATTACACACGCCATTATTTTAAATGATATTCTTCGTTCTTTTCACTAAATATGAATAAATCGCAAGAAAATCATGTTTCTAGTTGACTCATATAATAGGAACAAAATTGTCGTACATTGTGATGAATATTAATTGTCCGATGATGAAAAAATAAGGGTAAATTGTTCTAAATGCGATCCAGAAGACAGGCGGAGAAGAAGGTGAAATTTGTAACTTTATAGTGAAATATCTTAATAAATATTGGTTTGTTCACATTCTCATTATCAAATTCGTGCTTTTCAGACAAAAATACGTGAGTACCAAAAACAATTTTGGAAAAAAAACCATCGCATGATGAATGCAGTTTTACCGATTTATATTATTTGAAATTTCAGGATAGTGATTTTGAGCCTGTGGACAACTGTCTGAATAGCGTACTGGGGACTAGCCACGATCTCTCGGAAAGCTTCAAGAAGCACTATCATCTCTGGTTGGAACAGGAAGTATTCAGCATTCCAATAGATTGGGACAACTTGTTGGAAAGCATCAAATGAACCACTGGTATTCAATACGAGACGTATAGAATACTGGTGAGATGATAGATAATATTTTGAAAGAAAATTTAGAGAAAAATGTTCTTCGATAGATTACTCTAATCAGGAGAGTGTAGTAGCATTACTTACTCACTTCTAATATCAATAAAATTGAAGCGGGCCTAGAAGACACTTGGCAAATAGTTTTATAACTAATATTCTTTTGTTTATATTATGCTATAAAATACTCATTGTGCAGGGTGTCCCAAATTGCTTGATTTTGGCAGTTTTTCTTTTTTCTAGAACAGCTAGAGAAAAACTGACCAAAGAGTATTTTGTGAAACATCGATTGGTGAAAACCGCATTTCGATATCTCTAACCGGTTTCGAGATATAGACGAAAATTTACATTTGACCGACTTCAACAATATGCCCCTAACATTCACATTTTTGAATATTTTTCTAAACAGATGAACTTTCTAGAGACATTTTGTAACATAGAATGAGATACATCTGCCAAAAAAAAATAAATCGCGTATCAATTGTTTGTTCTGAAACTTGAAAAATACTGACGAAATCAAGCAATTTGGGACACCCTGTACATGCTAGAAGAAACTGTAATGTAGAGATCCACCTCAACAGTATTTTATAGTGTAATAAATACTGTGATGAACTTTATTTGTACATAGGAAAGTATCTACACTATACAGGGTGTTTCCGGAAACAGAGCGAGGAGTAGTCTGTTAACTTGACGGGAAATCAAGCCTTTCAACAGGCATGGAAAGAGAGAGAGAGAGAAAAATATACTTTATTGTCTAAAAAAATTGATTTTTTTATTGACAAAGCATAGTATTCAAAATTAAATAAAAATGAATAACATTTGTGCGTATTTGGTAGGTATGAGAATCGGTCGTAGTCAATTTTTCAAATTGAAAATTCAAGATGGCGGTTCCAATATGGCGGATGTCTCTTGTAATTATGGTCAGATTCGGGAGTTTTCGGAGTCGGAGATTATGATCTTCTTCTTCAAAATCAATGAATTCAAGATGGCGAATCTAATATGGCGAACTAGCTTTGTAATAAATATTAGTTTGAAGAATTGTAATGAAACACGCTTCAATAGATAGCCATACTCGAGGCCAAATTGAAAAGAAGTACAACATTGATAGTATAGTTCAAAAAACTGAAGAGATTGTCGAAATTAAAAGAAGTAGAAAATAAATAGTAGTTCGAAAATCTAAAGGAACACAATTCTATGGATAGTCAAACTGAAAAGAAGAAGAAAACGAAATAATATGAGTCTGTTGATGAATATTTAACTGAACAAATATTTTCTATGATTAAATATACAGGGTGGGCCACCAGTAACACCTCGGTCTCTAGAAGGCTAACCACTTATCTTCTTGGAATTCTTCCTCTCTAAGAAGTTGCATGTCAACATAGGCTACCATTTGAAATTATTTCAAAACATACAGGGTGTCCCCCAAAAACCGCAAAATACTAATGTTGAACTTTTTTCAATCGAACACCCTATATATTATTTCATTTTGAGATTCTCCCTGGTGAGCTGATTTCAACAATCCATCATACTTGGGGTCTAGCAGTTATAATTACTGAGATATAGGGTGTGAGAAATCGAGATTTTCCAAGTTCAAGAATTTTTTGTGTCTAAACCATTCATAATTGGTCAAAACGGCTCACATGTCCCTATCTCAACTTTTGATCAACTATCTACTGACATTTAATTGAAACAAATACAGGGTGGTGCAGAATTCAGAATCTTGATCACCCGGTATATGTCCCAATTAAATATCAGTAGATAGTTAATCAAAAGTTGAGATAGGGACATGTAAGCCGTTTTGATCAATTATGAATAGTTTCGACACAAAAAATTCTTGAACTTGGAAAATCTCGATTTTTCACACCCTATATTTCAGGAATTATAACTGCTAGACCCCAAGTATGATGGGTCGTTGAAATCAGCTCATCAGGGAGAATCTCAAAATGAAATAATATATAGGGTGTTCGATAGAAAAAAGTTTAACTTCAGTGTTTTATGGTTTTTGGGGACACCCTGTATGATTCGAAATTATTTTAAATGGTAGCCTATGTTGACATTCAACTTCCTAGAGAGGAAGAATTCCAAGAAGATAAGTGGTTAGCCTTCTAGAGACCGAGGCGTTACTGGTGGTCCACCCTGTATATAGCGAAACAACGTTTGCCGAGTCAGCTATTGTAATAAATAGTAGTTTGAAATACTAATGCAACACACTTTTATGGATAGTCAAAATAAAAAGAAGTAGAAAATAAAAATAACAAAAGTGTGTTAATGAATATTCAACTAAAAACATATTTTCTAGAAATAGTGTTTCTGGCAAAACAAGGTTTGCCGGGTCAGCTAGTATTATGTATACTATTTGAAATAGTATATGTTGAGAGGTCATAACAGAGTTTCATTGTAATATTCTTCAATGTTATAGTAGGCTCTCATCATAAGGGCATCTTTCACCAGTTTTCTAAATTTACAATGATCTTTTATAGTTATTAGTTCAGTGGTTATATGGTTATGAATCTTTTTACTTTCAAATAACAAAGAAAATTTTGTATAAACTTAACAAACGATAAGATTTCCACAAAATTCTCAAACATATGTTTTGCTTACACAGTGGCTCCGTCAGGTGATATACTGGTACAATGAACTAAACCAACGTTGGCTTGCTTAACTTTTATATATCCTACTTTCCCAACCTGAAGGATAAGTTACCTGTGGACAGGTAGGATAAACCTTCATTTTCGGAAATTAGGCACAATATCTACATTAAAATACGGTGTATCGGATAAACTTGAAAGAGTTGATAACATATACATAATATAGGTATGTTCGCGTTCGAAAAATAAACAGTCCGAAACCATCAGAAGCATGCGCAGTTCCACGGAACTTGGAAAAAGTGTACTGTTATGTGAAATTGCGCATGCTCCTGATAGTTTCGGACTGTTTATATTCTGAACGCGAACATGCCTATCATTACCTACTAGGAAAACAAATTCAACAATGGTCAACTATTGAGGTCTAATTGATTGTTAAGTAAAATGTCAGAATTTTTGAGTTTGTTGATTTCTAATGATTCAAAATGATAGAGTTTCATTCCTCTATCTTCTATCTGTAGAATTTCGAAATTATCATCAAAACTATGTTTTTCTTCTAATATGCGGTTGGAGTATGTTGAATTTGTTTTCTTTTTCAAGAAATTCACCTTATGTTCATAAATGCGCTGATTGAACGTACGACCTGTCTGACCGATGTATACCTCAGGACAAAATCTACAGTTGAGTTTGTATACCCCTGATTTTTCGATATACAAACTAAACTGTGGATCTTGTCCTAAGGTATGTATTGGTCAGACAGGTCGTACGTTTAATCAGCGAATTCATGAACATAAGGTGAATTTCTTGAAAAATGGCGGATGAGTAAAATTATGATCCGATTCTATTCAAAATTGGTATCTGGGGGTTTTCGGGGTCGGAGATTATGATTTTTTTTGTCGAAAAACACGCTTTTGTAGTTAGCCTAACTGAAGAATAGATATTCAATAGTAATTTGAAAAACTGAAGAAACACGCTTTTATAGGTAGCCATCGTTAATCTATGAGGTAGCCAAACTAAAGAGTAAAAAATGAAGTAATAAAGGTTTGTTGATGAAAACACAACATAAAAAATATTAGCCCCTCAGTATATTTCATTCTATGTTGTGTATTTATCAACACACTCATTTTATTATTTTATTTTCTACTTCTTTTTACAAAGAGAAAGGAACTCAAAGTCATCACTACGTTAGTTCATAAAATGAACGAAAACATTGAATACAGCTGCAAGTGATTAATTCTTTCCTAAATACTGAGCTGTGCCCAAATTGTTCATTAATGCTAGACCTACAAACCGGTTTCGAGCTTTGGGCTCTCATCAGTGCAGGGGTGTCTCCAGATGACTTCTTGACCGTCATCTGGTGCGAACCTGACTCAACCTAAACACATTCCAGCATTTATTACTCCTTTTTAGTTTGGTTATCTTCAGTTTCTTAAACTACTCTTTATTTTTTGTTTTCTCGCTTTCTAATGCTGACTTAATTTTCCGCTCCAATTTGGAAATCACCCTGTATAACTAATAGTGAGCACATGTGGATTGTAGAATAAAGTTCACATGTTGAGCTGGCTGTTCGATTTTATTTTAGTATTCAGCATCACGAGTACAGTGTTTATTTCAGCTGTTTTCTGTTCATCTGCAATGTCATGCCTAACAAACATTTTAGATTTCCAGATCGAACTTTTCGTGTCTGTAACGCTTTCGTGGAGCTGAAACTTGGAAATAATGAAAATTTTTCGGGCGTAGTTACTCTCTAATGTGATATTGCCTAAGAGATAATTAATTATTGTATAATTGACAATAAATTTTGATAGGTTAGCTATATCACCTGTCAACTATGAACATTACAATTGTGATCCTTTGTTCTTTATGTCATACTTTGCCTCTCCCAATTTATGAGAGCTTATTCAACTTGTTTCAGCTTCCAGTATTTATTCTGAAAATTTCACTAGTGGCCTATATCAACCAAGAAGCATTACACATCTGTTTTGTGACAGTTTTTTGAGGTCTATACTCTTTCATTATAACAGAACTACCTCAAATGAAAGTATCTACTTTTCTAGAAATTTTGTAAAGGGTATAGATGCATACAAAAACTGTTCGTATTTTGCTGTAGGATTTTATTAGTGTTTACCACTTAAAAAAACTATATATTCGGTCCGATTCACTCAGACAACTGTCATTCGGGTGGTAAATATCAGTGGTTATTTAACCTTCCAGTAGTCGCGCCTTGAAATGGACATAGTCTGTCGCTGCGGAGTCTGACTCCGCAATGGAGAATTTGGGTGGTGTGAACATGATGACTCGAATTTCTCCAAAAATTTTATATGCCTTTGGACATGAATATCTCTACGAAGTTAAATGTGGAAATTGCAATAAAAATATATTTATTCAATAACAAAACCCAAAATTAACATTGTTAACATGTTTCGATCTCAAAC